CAGGGCACACTGCTGGCTCATGGTTAACCTGTCGTCCACCAGGACGCCCAGGTCTCTCTCCACAGAGCTGCTCTCCAGCAGGTCCACCCCAAGCCTGTACTGGTGCATGAGGTTGTTCCTCCCCAGGTGCAGGACCCTGCATTTGGCTTTGTTGAACCTCATCAGGTTCCTCTCTGCCCAGCTTTCCAGCCTATCCAGGTCACGCTGAATGGCACCACAGCCTTCTGGTGTATCTACCACACCTCCCAGTTTGGTGTCATCAGCAAACTTGCTGAGGGTACATTCTAACTCTTCATCCAGGTCGTTGATGAAGAAGTTAAACAAGGCTGGGCCCAGTACTGACCCCTGGGGGACACCACTTGTTACCAGCCTCCAACTAGACTCAGCGCCGCTGATGACAACCCTCTGAGTTCTGCCATTCAGCCAGTTCTGACATTTCGTTTTGAAAAGTTAATGCTATTTTAAAGTGAGCGCGCACAGATTATATATCTTCATCCTAACATGCACAACAGTGAAAATATATCAGTGTGTAGTAGTAATAGCTGGAGGAAACTGAGATGGGAGATGTGTGCATTCAATGCATAATATTGCTTTGCATTTCTTGGTTTCACAAAACTATCACTATGTATCACATTGTAGCATCTATATATTGCATGTAGATGCCAAGCACTACTGTCTCATGACACAGACCGAGAAGAATTCCTGGTTCAACAGCAAGCAACCAAGCGTGGCAAAGGAGCTATTAGTAATATGTATCACATGTAAAAATGCTGATGTGTCTGGAAGTTAAGATAGTATGTGCAGCCATTTTCATAAGTCATCAAAATAATTGACTGTTGGATGAGGTACTACCATAGTTTGACAGTCTTGAAGACCCAAAGCCACAAAACTGAAGGAACAAGTTGTAGCATTTTCTCACTCGCTCACTGAAGTATTTGAATTAATTAACTGTCTTTCGGTCCTGGTGTTAAGTCTCCTGCAGCTTAATGCTTTGAGCATACAGTGCCAGATTGGACTTTACAGTGTGACACCTGGTCATTGGAAGTATTATGGAATATCCCAGTGGTATGACAGATGTAGTAACACTTTTGCTATCCGTGCTTGATCAGAAGTTTCATCCAGACTGCTCTGAATTTTGTGTAAAAGCTTGGACTTTCACCAACTTTGAATGAAACTTCGAAGATGGAAGCTTCTAAATCTGAGTTGCAGAGATGAATTAACAGGAAGTGCTGATAGGCAAGCCCTGATTTCTAAGATTATAGGAAAGACTACAAAAAAAAAAAAATCAGAGTAAATTTACTTTTTAAAAAGAGTGGGTGATTCTCAGTTTTCACAGTATTCATGTTGTCCTAAATGATTTTATACAGTATTTTTCCATCTCTAATACATGGAACAGAGTAAAGTCTGTAGAGATATAGGATTAATGCAGGGGAACCCAGACAGAGTCATGGCAATATTAAAAATCATATGTACAAAAAAAAGCTTTCTGATTAATGTCAGGAGTTATAAGAACACATAAGCAATTCTGATTTTTGTACAATAGTAATATATGAAAATAACATACGGTTCAGAACTGGCTGGTCCTCTGTGAATTCAAATGGCTGTTCAATATAAAAAACCTTTTGCTGGAATCCAGGGATACATTCTAAATCTTCTGCACATGCAAGCAGCAGAACCTGAGGAAAAAAAAAGAAAAGGAAATGGATTTTTACCATCCACTCATTCATCCATCATGTTGGCTTCTGGGTTAGGCTCAGTGGTCATAAAACAAAACACTAGGCTCCATGCTCATAAAACAAAATATCCATCATATCATGCTTCCCCTTCAAATCTTGCTAAATGTTTTTTTGTGTAAGGTTTTTGCTTTTATATATAGGGACTGGTATGAAAACTACAAAACAGTAGCTTTTAAGGTTAAGTTCACTCCAGGTTATTAGTAAAGGATGTTACTGGTCTTTGCAAAAAAATAGATGTAACCTTGCTCCTAAAAACACAGGTGAATACAGCTAGGCTTAAATATATGCTTAAATTAAGCTCTTATAAGTTGATTTAAATAATTTATAAACTAGGATCTACAAACCTAGTTTCAGAAAGTTGATCACCAAGTTAGAGAAGGAATTGTTTATTCAAGGGTGAAGTTTCATGACAGAAGTTTCCTTTATAAAAAAAACTACTTTCCTAACAAATATAAGCTGTTGCCTTTTTTTCCTCCTCTGAGCCACAGTTTGTCCGTTTTCCTAATCAAAAGCTTGTTTACATGAAATGAAGACTGAAAATTAAAGGTGTGCATCATAGTGGAGGTGGATCTGAAGGTTAAAGTCAAATAGTTTGTTTCGCTGTTAGTACGTGGCCACCAAAGGTTCCTGTCACCACAGGAACACCTTAGCAAAGGAGGAAGCTTAAAAGCAAAGTAGAATTGGTTGGAAATAAGTACCATGCTAATCAGAGTCTCTGAAGGTTTGTGTTCTTTCCCTGAATAGAGACAACAACCTGAGGGCCTATTTTTCTTGGCAGCTTTTAAATGAGAGCATGGGGGTAAGAATGTCCAACAAAAAGCCATCAAGATAAAAATTACTGAAAAGTTTAAAAGGTTAAAGACAGAGGCAAAAGGAGGCAAGCTCAAGAGTAGGAAAAGCCAAATCTGTATTCAACCTATATATGTGCAATTGCATTTTCAAAAGTACTTTCTGTTTCAGAACCTCCAAAGGTGTTTTTCAAAGCCTGACTTTCAGCTGGTGTACAAAGTACTCTGATCTCACAGCTATTATGGCCAATCAGCTGCCTGTTGGGCAGCAGAAGGAGAACCCAGCAGAGAGCACACATGTAGTGACCAAGAAGAAAATGCTCAAGCAAACACAATGGTTCAGAACAACATTCACTCTAAAATTCAAGTGGCCCTGCACAAATGGGTCTACTACTCAAGACATCTTCAACATATGATTAGAGCCTTGCACATAAAGCTTTTCCACTGTAAAGCAAGGATAATTTCTCCCCTGTACCACACAGGTGGATGACGAAGGCTCTTATCTCCTTCACCAGCTCAACTGCACTCTCACTTCTCCCAACCCAACAGCAGCATCTCACACATTTTTCAGTTCTACCTCTACCATGTTATCATCCAGGTATGCTTAGCCCAACCCTAGAGAGACGGCCTGCAAAATTATAAAACCTGCATGTTTCCCTCTTAACCACCACTCATAGTCCATTCACTAAATCACAGCAGTAAGTTACCTGCTCTCTCCCTTCATGCACTTCACGCTATTGCTTCTATGTGATCCCATTTATAAAAACCAAAGGCAGCAATACCGCAGCTGGTCTGCATTAATTCTCACTGAAACCAACTGCTGGATCATTTGTTTCATGTCACTGACATTTGCTATAAAAGCTTGGCTGGAAGCGCTAGCAGACTGCGAGAAACAGCCAGGGTATTTCATGACAATTAAGATGGTGGTAGTCAAATGCAGCAGATGGACACCTTTGCCTTCCATCCTGATCTGCTCTATGTATGTCCTTTTGAAGGATTAACCGAGAACACAGAGAACGACTTAAAGTACTACACCAAGCAAGATGCAATACACTGGAGTATTATTCACTTCTATGTATCCACACAACTGCTGCCTATCTTACCAAGGCTTAAAAACACAATACCTAATCCCTTATTCAAGTATTGACATTGATATCTTGATTTTATTGGAGATTCTGGACTTGACAGGGGTTGAGAGTTGGACACGTCCCCTTCGGTCTTCCAGCATGAGTCATCCGCAAACATGAACTGACATACTCAGAGCCTGCCCTCAAAATCATCCATAGAGCTTGATTACTGATTATAAGAAAAAAGGGTGATCTGCATTTAGATGGTCACTTGCACAGAAAGACAGACATTCCTTTTTCTGCACATATTTTCTGTGTGCACAGGTGCATTTTTCAAGTACCTTTCTGACTCATGGTGTTACTGACTGAATATGCATAAAAATGTGATCATAGCAGAGGGAAAATTCTTCCCATCTCAAGATGCAAGCATCAGCTGAAGCAAAGTTATATAACAAGTCCATACCAGAAAAATAGCCCAAGCAGCGTATGTTGAAATTTAACTATAAAAATCTCTTACACTAAAGGATTAACACAGCAAGCAAAACACAATCTTGTTCTGATCTCCCAGCTACTAGCATCTGAAAGTTGAAACTCTTGTCTTACTGAGCTATAAATAAAACACTGGTTTGGACATCCTATATATCAGTACTTAGAGAAGGGAATATGCCTACTTTATCAGATTTGTGATGGCATAAATTGACTTTGAAATCTGGGCAATCTAAATAGGTCATGAGTTAACTTCTGTAAGACTGGTACAGAAGTCTCACATAATATGGATGTAGCAAATAGAAAGTAACCTTTACTCCCTTGGAAATTAATTACAAGACTCAGGCTTGGCCTTGCTATGAAATGGAACATTTTATTCTACCTGTCCAGTTCCAGGCACTTTCTTCTTCTCAAATGTCAGACAAGATGTTAAATCTGTCACCACATCTAGAGTTTTTAATTAGTTATCTTTTAAAAGTGCAATTATTCTTTTATTTTTCTCATGAAGAAATTTCTTGTGTTGAACTAAGTATCTATCTCTCTAAAATAATTTCTGTTGAGGTACTTCACTTTGGGGAAAAAGTCTTTAAAAATCCCTGCCAAGCAGATTTGTGTTGAAGGCAAAGAGAGTATTGTTCAACGCAGAATACATTCTGAATTTAAACACTATGTAGATTTCACATTTTTGGATATAATAAAAGGGTTTATAGGTTGATAGCTGTCTAAAGAAAGACCTCAGCTGAATACACCAAAAATTAATATTTAAATGTCATACATGTAGAATTCAGAATACATAAATATTGTTCATGTATCTAGTCAAGTAAGTACTGGGCAATTAGTACAAAACGCTCCTTCACCCACCACTAAGAGAAAAGCCACGTTCTTCAAAGAATATGACATTTATGCAGCAAACATAACTTGCTCATTAGTCTCAAGGGATAGAAATCTGAAAAGCAAACCAGGGAGTCATGACTAGTCAGACCTATGGATCCTGTGTTTGCTGACAATCAGAATCAAAGTTTTTCACGACCTACTACTTTTCAGAAATGTACAGAGTGAAAATTCATTTTTAATACCCTGACAATTTGTCTTTCTGAATTTATTACCAGTCACTATAAGGAAATGTCACTAGTTCAGATAACTCCTGTGCAAGGTTGGTCACTGGGCTAGAACTATACTTCTGATGAGGTATCAAGCCTATGAAATGCCTTTTTTTTTAGTTAATAAAACAGCACACACATGCTGGTGAACTTGACTGACCTCAACATTTGCACTGAAAGCTGCTCACATAGAACATGGATTGGAAAGCAAAAGAAGATGGCAATTTTACACCATACTGCAGAAGAAATTAATGAAGTCCCTGATGTTCAAGTGCCTTTGGGTATTACCATGTTTCACAAAACAGGGCTCTTCTACCTCCTCTGTTGGAGGCTGAAAATTAGTCTCCGAAATCACCTTCCACAGAATTTTGAAATCTTTATGTCCGTTTTGACCCGCCCAGTTTCAGTGCACGAATAATTCCATTCAGTTTTGATTGACCACATCCTCACTCTGGAAATTAATTTTCTCACTTTGTAGTGTAAACACTTTCATATCTTTGTTAACCCTACCTGTACGAGATCAGCTTTCTATTACAAAAATGCAAGCTTCAGAATATTAATCGCATTTCACACACATTCTTATGGTGTGAAATCCATCCTTACACAAGGCTCTATTTAAATAAAGATGTAAATGTAGACACCTATGAAAACCATCTGCCCAGACACGAGTTTTACACACAATAAATGCAAACAAATCTCATTTCTTAGGGCAGTATGCTGTAGGACCACATTCTACCTTCTATTTCAGGAGAGCAATTTGAAACACAAACAAACCAACATAAAACCCCACAAAAGAAGAGCTAAAATAAAGTTCACAGTGATTTTTAATAAGAGTAATAGTCCTAAAAGTTCAAACATTATGAGGCACTTCCTGAGAAATTAGGTTTTTGGTTGGGGTTTTTTTTTGTTTGGAGTTATGGTGGGGTTACTTCGGAAGTATGGTTTTGGAGTTTTCTTTCCTACTCCTTCAACCCATTTGCTTGGTAGTAAGTATTGAAAATTTATGCTTCCGAGCTTTTCTCTCGAAGCATGAGAACAAGAAATTTGCTTTTTGCATATGAAAACTTCAGATTTTCATATAAAATACAGTGATCCTAAAAGCTAAGAACTGAGAGTAAAAAAAGTAATCAGAATAATGAGAACTGCCAACGCTGAATTAAATTGCACGACAAAATATTTTTATCATGCAGATCCAGATCTTTGAGTCTTAAAATCCTTTCTATCTTCAGGTGCTGCAACACTAGACTCACAAAAAAACGGGTAAAGGAGGAAGCCATCAAAGAAAAACCAGTAATAAGCAGCACACAGTCACAATGATATGCAGAGAGATGATGAAATCCTGCCTTAACTGAAGTCACCAAGAACTATTCATTGATTTTAGGTTTTTTCCTCAAGATTTCAATGAGGGAGTTATTTAAATGAAATTAACAGGGGGATACTTAAACAGAATGAAGAAAGCACTGTTTTAAGTAAGGTTCTGATTCTGTATTATGCAGACT